ATTGGTATCCACTGGTTACCATTAGCATCCACTGGCTACCACTCAAGTCCAGTGGTTACCATTGTTAATGTCCCTACCAATGGCTGACAAAAATCTGTTCACAGTTCTAAGGCTACGAATAATACCATTGTCAAAAAATGGTACCAGTGGCACCATCGGTTTTTTGTTTGTTTGTTTGTTGTTTAACGTCCCTCTCGAGAATTTTTCACTCTTATGGAGACGCCACCACTTGCCGTTGTAGAGCTGCAAATTTTGTCCTATACTCGGCACTTACGGCCATTGAGCAGTGAGGGATCTTTTTCGTGCCAGCACCTGCTGTGACACGGGACCTCGGTTTATACGATCTCTTCCGAAGGACCGGTCTCCACGTCCCACAGTGGGATTCGAACCCGCGACGTAAGGATCAACTCCTTACTCCGCGACTATAGAGCAGACGCTCTAACCACTGCGCCACGCGGGCGACGGCACCATCGGTATTAACAACATTTTAACCAATTAGTGAACAGTGAAGGCAGCCATTGCTTGGCTCATAGACTAGAACTTATTTTCCTGACATGGTCAAAGGAGATAAAAAGATTGAGCGTCTGTCTATCCTCCTCCTTTTACAAAAGGAGTCCTAAGCAACGCACCAATCTAAGACACGCTTTTGAGGTATTTTTGTGGGTTTCATTTGAAATATTTAAATTTTTTCTAGGAGCTTGGAGCTGATTTTAATATGTACTTGCTAACTAAACATGGATTGGTATTTCAAAAGGTGATGAATGTAAGGGGCATGCTTCGTCAGAGAGTATGTGGCAGCCGCTAGATGCCACAATGGACTTATTTCTCACTCTTCCTGCAAATTCTGTCGCTAATGAGGCCTCCTTCAACCAGATGAAGCTGACCAAAGAGAACAGGAGGCAATGTTTGAGTAACATTCCCTTGAATGACTACCTGATTAAACTTAACGAGGTCGAGTCTAATTCGAGTGCGCATGATTTTGCGAAGCATGTTAGTTTCATGCAGTCGTAGGTGCAACATAACAATTTTTATACAAAATTAACATTACATTACATTATCTGTAACGCTAATGGGTTTTTAAGACAATAATTAGGAATAATCGCTCAACTGGCTTTCATTACGTCACTGTTTTCCAGTACTGTAAGCAATGCATGGCGCTTAAAAATGATGACGCATGACTCACTTGGGTATTCAAGACGTTCGTGGACCTTTTATTAAAACTGTTGACAGTACATCAAAAGAAACATACCAGCAATCTAAATATTGTTATTTTCTACCAAAATAATTCATCTACGTCGATATAAACAAAACGTATATCGCAATATGGCAAATTTAAAGGTATTAGGCATAGGGGGGAAAATAAACTTGTAATCACTTCTAGAGCAACCCAAATGGTCAACTTTTGTGAAATTTCACAATTTGGCGACTTTTACAATAACCCACATGTATCTGACGAAAAAGGAAATCATTAAGACAGAAATACAAAAGAAAATATTGGGAAAATGTGATAATTTGGCGCTTTTCCAGCAAATTCCCATAGGGTCCAATTTTAAAATTTGACAACTTTTGAGGTGGCCCCGTAGGAGATCGGAATGGTATACATTCGATTATTTTATCTTAAAATTATGTTTCTTTGTTGCTTAACGTCTCTCTCGAGAATCTTTCACTCATATAGAGACGCCACCACTTGCCGGTGGAGAGCTGCAAATTTTGACCTATACTTGGCACTAGGGGCAATTGAGCAGTGCCAGCACCTATACTGCGACACAGGACCTCGGTTTATACGGTCTCATCCGAACGACCGGTCTCCACGTCCCACAGTGGGATTCGAACCCGCGACGTAAGGGTCAACTTACTCCGCGACTCTAGAGCAGACGCTCTAACCACTGCGCCACGCGGGCGGAACTCTTAAAATTATGAATATATTAAATAGTAAGAAATTATCAATAGGTAGAAATAAATAGACTCGGCCTTGTTAATTGGATTTAGTTGATATTTTTTTTTAGATTTTGATCCAACACCGGTGATTAAAAAATGGATGGTAAATCTCCCATATCTTGGGCTGACCATCAATATAGCAACGGACAGCGTCCATTAAGGTGAGGTTCTACTTGGACATTCCCGGGAGGTCTGTATGGTGTGGTCCGGGTCCTATGGATCCTTGCACAGCACAGATCTTACTGAACACCTTTCAAAATTAGGGACCTGATCTGTAAAAATCTCATAGGGATAGCTAAATCGCGAAAATCATTGATGGCTGACCTGACCTAACGCTGTTTGAGGCGGGAGCGGAGTGCTCTCAACCCCCTTGTTAAAGTTATCTACCATCATGAGTATATACTCGTTTCCGCTATCTGTTCGGGGTAGCGGCCTAAGAAAGTCTTAATGCACTCTCTCCATCGGGCTTCCGACCTGGTAACTTTTCAGTTCCGATCTATTTGGCAAACAACCTCTCTTATTCCGGGCACCAATGTCCTGATATATAACTTGATGTCCCTTACCATCCGCCACTAATAGCACTGCTTAAGTCTCACTTTTGTTCTCTATATTCCCTGGTGGCCGGACGACGGAATGTCATGGGATGACCTCTGACCTAAGACCCCTCGGAACTAACAATCTACGAGGCATGTCCGAGTCTTCCGGTTCTCGCCAAATAACCCCTGTCTCGTCCAGGTAAAAGCAGTCTCTTTGCAGAAGAGGGATCGGACTACATGTTATCATGTCACTTTCAGCTGGTAGACTCCCAGACTTTAAGTACTGTCTCGCGTAAACAATAGCCTCATCGGATTTCCCTCAACCATAATTTTAGTCGAGTAACTTTGGCATGTGTCTGGTATGTTCCTGGACAGCGCATCGGCATTTACATGCTTGGAAATATCCGCATATTGTTCTGGCTCAGCTCTTCTAACCAGCGAGTAATCTGACCCTACGGATGCTTAAAGTTCATGAGCCAGTCCAGGCTATGGTGGTTGGCCCGACTGTGAACTCCCTGCCCAGCAGGTAATGGCAGAATTGTCTGGTAAACTTGATAACCGCCAGCAACTCCTTTCTGGTAGTACAATACCCGCGCTGTTCAGCTGACAAAACTGCGCTGTCCTCTCTCTTCCATTCTGGACTTGGCTTAGTTCCCCACCTACGTCACGATCCGAGGCGTCAGTATCCAGAATTAAGTACCCTGTACTGCTCGGAATAGCCAGTACTGGGGGTTTAGTCATAAACTGAAGGAGTTCCTCGAAGGCACTCTGTTATTCTGCTCCCCACCGGAAACCACTCTTTCCGGTAACCGCGTAAAGCGGAGCCGCAATTCTCGAGAACTGAGGGATGAAGCTGCGGTGATGGTTGGCGAAAACAAGAAAATGCACAACGCCCTTCACGTCGCAAGGAACACTTGCAGGCCAATCACGTACTGCCTCAGTGTACTGGTCCCCCATTTCAACTTTAGTTTTGAATAGCTCTCACTTCCGAGGCTTAAATTTAAGACCGTATGCTCGGAACCGCTCAAACACCTGCTCAGGTTATCAAGGTGAGCGTGTGCTGAAGCCCCCAGCACTAATACATCATCGAGAAAAGTGAAGACAATTTTCCAGTTGAGTCTGTGCAATACCAGATTGATGGCCCTAGCGAAGGTCGCAGGGGCATTGCACATTTTCGTGAATTTAAATAATCTGTATTTGGTAATAAAAGTTTTTTTCCCGGTCCTCCGGAGCTATTTTAATTTGCCAGTAGGCCGCATTGGCATCCAGTTTGGAAAACCAGCGGTTTCTCGCTAGCGTGCCCATGCACTCTTCGATGAGCGGCAGGGGTACGCGTCCTTGACTGTCACTTTATTCATGGCTCCGTAGTCCACGCACCAGCAGACACTGCCATCCTTCTTCCTAGTTAAGACCGGGGCGGACGCCCAGTCCGAGAAAGATGGTTGGATAACCCAGGGATTTTAACATTTTGTCCAGACGACCCAATTCCTCCCCCTAGAACACAGCGAGATGCGGCGCATCCGCTGCTTAACGGGAATTGCATCGCCAGTACTTTGCCCAAAACCTCCTTTTTGTAGGACTCCCATGACAAACATCTCCTTTTCTACTTTGCTCATTCTTAGGTTGAAGATATGGTCCTTTATGTCATTGTTTGGAAATGTTTCAAAGCAGTTCTTCGTACATGTATATTTACGTAAGTTGATATAGCAGTCTTCATTGTCCTGCACTTTACTTATATCTTCCTCAGTTTCTTCACTCAGTGATTCTTCTCCATTTTGAGATTGAATAGTTGATTGATTGTATGTGGTTTTACGTCCCATTTGAGAATTTTGCACTCATATACGACTTCACAATATACCGGTGAAGGGCTTCAAAGAGCTAAATCCACGAAGGGGCTAAATCAGCCTATTTTTTCAGGAAAATTAAACTGAGGGGAAGAAGAAAATTATTAATAGAAATATTATCCTTGGGTATCAAACTTAAAAAGTTTATGCCAATTTTTTTTTATTTGATGACGTCATATTTGTACGGAAAACGTCTAAACACGTGCACTTTGCTAGTTTTTATCAAAATAAAGCATTTTTTCTTTTTTGATTCAAATTTTTGCTGTGGCCACACCCTTCGAACAAAATAAAATTTATACCATTGAAAAGAAGATTAAAATATGAATAAATAAAGTATATTTTTATTTTGTTCGAGGGGTGTGGCCACATCGAAATTAATACTTTTCGTTCGATTCAAATATCTTAGCACCGACTCACACAGTGAAAATAGCGGGGATTACCCTACATTAATAGAAAAGAAAAAGATTCTATATTATTTTGTATTAAATATTAAGAAGTTTCGAAATGCGAATTTTATATCTATTATAAGTTATTTTATGTTGTGGTGCAAAAAAGTACGAAAAACTCTGGCTATTAAAGCATGGCTGCATATCGATGCAATAGACCGTTTCACGATAACTGCGAGACTGCTCTTCGCGCATGCGTACAAACACTTCCGCAGGGCAACTTTCAGTTTATTGAATATTGCGCTTTCGGTTTAATCATAAGATTTGTTTCAGTATGGTACGCTCTTGCTGTGTTGTCAAATGTTCAAATCGTGATGATACGAAGTGAAAACAGAAAGGTCTACACTTTTTCAGGTAAGTCTTTCAAATATCTTTTTAAATTTTCTAAAATCGTGGTAGGCCCCTATTTCTTGCGTATTAACAACTAGTATGAATACAAGTACACATTGTTTTATATGGTTTTCGTATTCATTATGCCACACAAAGAATTTTATAAGTGTGTCATTTCATAAGAGGAGAGTAAATTATATTAAAAAAGTTAAAGTTATTTAATGTAAAGCATCCACATACATGCATATAACTGTGTATTTAACTGTAAAGTATTTACCATCTCATTGTAGTGATGGTACTTACAAATGGACAAAGATTGTAATTTATAAGCAAAATTTCTTTTATTTTCATATATTTATGTATATTTGTTTAGTTTATACATGTAAATGATACCAATATTGTGTGACAACAATATCTTGAGGTGAAACTGTTATGTTATATTTATTCCTCTGTTATTTAGCTAAGAGTGACAACTAGCTCTTAGCTGATCTTTATGTTTTTCTTTCAATATTCCTGTATTTGTTATAGATTTCCCAAAGACGGTCGAAAGCGTCGTGCTTGGATAAAGGCAATAAACAGAGATGATTTTGTGCCCAATGAACACACCTGTGTGTGCTCAGAGCATTTTGTGACTGGGTGGCACAGTGATGACCCTGAAGATGTGGATTATGCTCCAACTATTTTTTCATACAAAATGAAGACAGTTAATCCAGAGAGAGAAGAGAGATTAGCCAGAAGAAATATACAGAAGGTTCTAAACCTTTCTCCAATGAGACAAAATAATAATAAGATGAATTTCAAAAAATCAAGCCTTTGGACAAAACTAAAAAATGAGAAATAAATATGGCACATTCCAAACCCATTTCACCAAAAAAAAAAAAAAAGATGAAATGGTTTACATTCATTGAATTTAACATTAGCCATACAATAATTTTTGCTGTATTATTTCTAGGAATTTCATGTGTCAGTACAGAGAGAGCAGGAGCAAGAGAAGAAAAGTCTGGACTTTTCTTTATTTGTACATTCCTGCTGCAAAGGTAAGAGGGAAATGTGTATGTTATTATTTGTATTCAGATCTGCGCCAAGACTTTCAGAGTGGGAATAGTTTCTTTCAAGATTTGATTTGGAAGTCCCAACCATTTATGAATATTTTATCCCCTATATCTCAAATACACTGTTCTGTTGATGTTTTACCCAGTCCCATGTAGATAAGAATAACAAGGTTTGAATGTACTGTAAAGAATCAATTGTATTGTATTGAATTGAATTGTAAATTTTGGACAATCATCATTTTATAACCCAGACAGCTGAGCTGACAATACTGAATAACTCACTAACACATTATTCAATTTGTTAGTACAACCATCTATGTTAAGACATGATGAACATCCAAAATCTGCAATTAATTGCTTAAATGTTAAAAAAAAAAAATTCAGTCAGGACATATTATGTTTCTTCTACGTTTTGGACATGAATTTGTCATTCAATTTTTATTTTAGATAAGGAAGAGGAGGAATGTTTTCATGTAGAAGATGTAATGGAAGATACAGATGATGTAGATACAGGAGTTACACTGAAGAGAGATATTGGTAAATAAATTAGATTAGCGGAGGAAAGATTAACACAGGATTGTGTTTACATGTACACTGAACACCAATGTCAACAAACAAAATTAGATGACATACATATTTCTGTAACAAATCCAACTGTCATTCCAAGAATATCATTAATAATATCAATAAATAGTTATTCAAAAGATATGAGTTAAAAATTATATATTTGCTGTATTTATGTGGTTTACAGGCTTTTAGTCATACAGGTATATTTTATGAAATAGCTATTAATGTACATTAAAAATGTCAGCTTATTGTAATTCATGAATTATAGGTTGCCAGTGTGATCCAGACCCCCTTATACTTGAAAATCAGGGACTTAAGTTGGAATTAAGGAGGATACGAGACACAAAGTGGTCTGTTGCCAAGATTAAAGATGATGACGCAATGACCAGGTTCTATACAGGACTCCCAAGCTTTGCGGTGTTTCTATGGCTTTTCAAGTATGATTTAAGAGCTTCATACCTCTTATTCCATAGACGGTTTCACAATAACTGCGGTACTTCTCTTTATCTATCAACAAAAAAACTTCGGTAAAAGTTATTAATTTGCCCTGCAAAAGAGTGGTACCGCAATTATCGTGAAAGGGCTAATTGAAAACTTTTTTTGAAAATTTTTTAGTGGCCTATACTCACTAACTGTTTGTATGTTGAAGGATGGAGGCTAAATAATTAGCAGATATTATATTTATTTCTTTGGGCTAACATTTAGCATACAGGTTATCTTGGTGAAATTCCAGCAATGCAAATTTAGTCAGGTGTATTTAATTTAAGCAAATATTTGATACAACTTGAAGAAAATCTTATATTTATAGATATGAATTTTTTGCAATATTAATTTTAACCATCTCCTAGGCCCTTGCCAGAATAATATGCTCCTACTTTATGATACATTTAGCTATCTGGCACCAAAGCTTGAGAAGATGGTCTACTGGAGAGGTGGTTCAGCAACTTCAGAGGAAAGGAGTAGAGCTAGGCGAAGCATGGCACTGGGGCCAGTTAACCAGTTTTTGGCAACATTGATGAGGCGTAAGGTATATTATAGTTACCATAAATTAATACATATACTAGTTACTGTAGATTCCTTATATTTATACTTGAATATTGAATTCATGATTTCACTTCCTCAAATCACAAATTGCTAGAAATTGAATTCATGAATCAAGACCTATTACATGAATTTCAGCCATAGAAAAACAAAAAGGAGTAATTTTAAATCATGAGAACTGCTTCTTGCAGAATTATGGGATAACAAATTCTTTGGTTACATTTAGGAATCTACAGTATTGCATCATAACATAGCTGTTTAGTACAAAGTATTTTAAAATAAGCCACATTTTCTGTTGGATTTCGTCGTATTTTTGAAAGTTTAATTTTGAATCATTTTAAAGGTTGGATTATATGTACAAGACATGGCAGAGCGTTTTGGTGTTTCTGTAGGAGCCTTCTCTCAGTACTTTACCACCTGGATTTGCCTACTTCACAAGGAACTGAAGGATCTTAATCCCTTTCCTTCCAGAGATGTTGTTCAGAGAAATATGCCAACTTGCTTTAAGTCTTTTCAAAATTTAAGAGTCATACTTGATTGCACAGAGATATTCATTCAGAAATCTAACAGTTTGATAAACCAGAATCAATCTTTTTCTCATTACAAACACCATACAACTTTGAAATTTTTGATTGGTATAACTCCTTCTGGAGTTATCTCATTTGTTTCAGAGGGCTTTGGTGGAAAAATCTCGGATCGGCAGATGATTGAGCGTTCACCTCTGCTTGATCTGCTTGAGGAAGGGGATGTTGTCATGGCAGACAAGGGCTTCACTATTAGGGATTTATTAGAGAAAAAAGGCTGTAGTTTGAATATTCCGCCATTTCGGTCTTCATGTCAATTTTCTACTGTAGATGTTTTTAACACTCAAGATATTGCTAAATTACGGATTCAAGTCGAAAGAGCTATAGGACGCGTAAAAATTTTTCACATTTTTGATGGTGCACTTTCTCTTTCTCTAGTGCAACTGGCATCTCAGATATTTTCTGTCTGCTGCTGGCTTACCAACCTTGATGTCCCTATGGTTGAAAGTAATCCATGATGACAAATTTAGGTTAGTATGAATTTATCTGACGTTATACATGTATCTTTCATTTCATTTTTACTTCCTTAATACTATTTGAGCAATGCATATATAAATCTGTTTTAAAAAAAGAATCATTTTTTAGTCATAAACAATCAATGTAATTTCACAGTGACATCATAACCATATTGACATATTTAAGATATGAATTTAATTTTTGAGAATTCATGAGGACATGAACTACGACGCTTTGTGCGTGAAGCGTTGTAGTTCATGTACCTCATGAATTCTCAAAAATTAAATTCATATCTTATATTTACATTATTTTTCTGATGACTTCCCAAATATTTTTGTCTTTCAATGATCATTTTTGAAAAAAAAAAGTTTTGCACAATTTTTTTCACTTCAATCACATCACAAGGGAAATATTCTTACTCATCCCAAGGTAGTTCATGAGAACATGACCTTTTTCTAATTTGCAAAGAATCTTAGGGGAAAATATTTGGAAATGTAAATATTTCTAGATAAACATTTATATGGGTTGGTATGTGATCAAATCCATAACACCTTTTTAACTTTTTGGGATTAGACCAACCCATATTTACATGTATATTCCTATAAATGTTACCAAATCTCTTAATTGAAGAACATTTACATTTTAAGGTATGAAGATGAAACATGTGAAACAAAAAACTCTACAAGTTTAGGCATCATCAAAGAACAGAAATCTGAATCAAAATAAATTCTCTCTATAAAGCAGTTGCTCTGCCTGGCTGCTGTCCACACAACAAAGTCACCCCATGCACAACCCATAATGGCCATTTCCCCTTGAATCTGGGCATAATATTTATGCTCTCTTTTCAGTCTGGGTCCCTCATCATTGTCTTCCAAGAAAAAACCTCCTCTACCAACCAGTTCATGCACCTGTTCAATGTATGCCAATTTAAGGTTGTTTTACTTAAAAAAAGTATGACTAATAACAAAGACAACTTAGGAGGTGAACATGTACCTCTTTGTCAGTAATAACTTCATTACTGATGGAGTATGGGCATTTTATTTCCAAGACCCCTCTTTCATTTCCCTCTGGCATAGACTCGCCATATACCCATCCATCACTGGTTGCTCCCAGAAATGCATGTGATGGGTATATGGTGAGTCCAGACTCCTCCACTCTGAGATTGGTAATAGCATTCTGGAGGGCCAAGTAGTCTTTCAGGGCATTTTTCTCATTCTCTATACCCCACTTGACTGGCAAAGGTAGTGTCTGGTACCTTAAATATAAAATGTTATACCTTATGATATATCAGAAGTTGTTGATGTGCTATGCTACTTGATTCAATGCAGACTAAAAACGAAGGGATTATTAAAGTTTTTAAGATTTTAAACCTATTCCTTTACCTATCTAAACTCGATCCATTCATTATCTGGTTGACTAGGCTTTGGGGAGTTTGTCCTGATTGAACAGAACCAAATACGGAACTAGTTATTTTTCCTCTATGCAGCTCCTTCCACATCTCGCACGCTCTTTGGCCTCTTTGTTCTATGCTCGATGAAAGCACTCAGGCTTTCATCAATAGAAACTGGAAAGGGTACTGTAACAATAATATTTTTTTTAGATAAAGATTATTTTCAATCTATAGCATAAATTTACAGAAAACTTTTTCCCTTACAGTTCTCCTTGGACAATACAAGACTTTTCATTGCTGTTTCCATTGGATCCTCTGTTGTTCTGACTTCAATTTCTCCAGATGGATTAGGTGTCTCTTCTGGAATGGTCCATAAGTGACTCATGCCTAGGATAAAAATTTTGATGAAAATTTTTATGTTTTGTAATACTAAATATTTGTGGGGGTTTTTTGTGGTTTTTGTGTGTATAAACTGTAATGTACATGTACATTGCATTTTTTTTTGTAAAGCAAAATTGCAAATCATGCTTTTTAATTTATAATCAGCTCTTTTGTTTAACCTGCACATTGATATATAACACTTCTGTGTCCACTAGAGAGATCACATTTTCCTTTGGAAGTTAGTAGATTGATTTTATCAAGATTTTGAAAATAAATCTTAAACTGAACCAGTATCTATTCTTATCTAATATGATTTATGCATTGCTTTTTCATGCACATAACTGAAAAGATTACTTCTTGTATACCGGTTTTGGGAAATATTTTTTTTAACATCATCAATTGTTCCATGGAATGTTTGGAGTTAAATTCTCGCTCTTCAGGATGCCGAGGATCAAAGTCTAATTGTTTTCTCTCACGGTACTCCAGTTCCCCCTCTGTCGTCAGTTTTGGTCGCCCAAGTTTCCACTCCCTCAAGGGCATGGGGTCCATCTTAAGTGGACGGGGGACATTCCACTGGCATGGTCTAGAGGTTGCGCTATCTGACTTAAGTACCTCGGTCAGATGCCAGTGGTGTAAATAAAATAGCAGTCCACCAATATGGCTGCATGTTTGGGCTAGACTATATCAAACAAAATACATGTATAATTTGTTTGTAATTTAAGAAGATGTTGATTTTTTTTATTTAACAAAATACATCTATAAATTGTTTGTAATTTAAGAAGATGTTGAATTTTTTTATTTGCTTAACTTTTTATTTTTCATATTGATTTTTACAATTGTGCCTACCCAATTGGACATTCACAATAGGCAAATTGAACCGTTGTCCTGTCCTCAACACAGAGAAAAACTTTGTACTTCACTTTTTTCATAGAAGCTAAGCAGTAAGCTCTGATGTAGTCAAGGGACTCATCAATCTATAAGTTTGAATTTATAAATGTTAAGCATCAGTGACGTGAAACTTTTAGATAGAAAGTTACTGTTTATTTAAATTAGGCTTTTATTCTCTTGTTTAAAGTCCGTCTTCACTCACCCTTTTATTAGAGTAATTAATATTTCCATTAAGTTAACAATTCCCTATATATTTATTGTGGAATTCCAAATAAAAGGTGAAAAATACAGAAAAATTAATATACTTGAAATGTTAAAAAGGACGATGATACATAAACATACTGAGTATACTTTTTTAATGCTTAACCATCATACCTGAGCTGTCATTATTTGGGATATATCTCAAGCCTCAAAATGCTTAATTGCTCTATCTAGTCCCTTAAAATTCTTTGCTTGTCTCCCTTCTGTTGTTTGCCTCAATATCATGTGATGATAGATCTGTTGAAAAGAGATATTAGGCAGGGAGGTGGGCGTGGCAGGGGAAAACGACGCAGACTGTAGAGGGGGGAGGTTTTCATGCCCAGAAATCTCGGGTACAGTACCCACCAATGCCATTGTCTGATACTTGATGGGCACTTCAGCAAGAGACCCTCTCCTTTTCCTGTTTAGGTCATTTAAATTCTCCCGGGAAGCCATCTCCGCGTTGATAAGTTACACGGAAGTGCCCCCTTTGTGCACTAAACTCGGATCTTGATTTTATTTAATTTCTCTATATAAATATATATCTTCAAGCATAATCAATACAAGAGAAGTCTAAATATGTTAGAAAAACAAAAAACAAACACACTTTCACATAAGAATCCTTTATTTCGATCAAAGCCATCTTCGTATTGATGAACACGGAAGTGCCCCCTTTGTGCACTAAACTCGGTTCTAGGCTTGTTTTTTTTTAAATTTCTTTATATAAATATTATGTATATTTACACATAATCAACACAAGAAAGGTATAAATATGTTAGAAAAACAGAAAACAAACAAACTTTCATATAAGAATCCTTTATTTCGATCAAGTAAATGTGGCTTTGTTGTAGTACCGTAGTAGTCAGCGTAACCTATGTAAACAAGTTGCCCTGCGGAAGTAGTTATATGCATGCGCGGAAGTTATCGTGAAACGGTCTATAATGTCGACATTTTGTGTATACACGTGCCTCAATCCTGACCCCAAGACTTTTCCTTCAAGTAGCTGATCTATATTTAACTAATCATTATTTTGAAATGTTTAAAAAAAATAATGTGTTCTTTTTTCCTCTGACAGCCTATTTATTTATGCTTTGAATTTGTTTTCCAACTCCCGGCTCCTCGTCACCATGGTAACTATGTAATCAAAGGGAGATAACCCGAGAAACATGTAGGCTACATCTTTATTTCCTCCTAAGTGGCCGCCATGTCGGAATATCCTAGAATATCAAACAAATTACATCGGATGCAACTACCAAGACGTATTTATAATGATTGTTTTGCCACCTTACAAACATAAATGTCGTGAAGTCTGCATCAACAGCATACAAATGGTTAATGTTACGCAATACAGTCTATTATAACTACATGTATTATAATTATAACCCATACCCAACATGCGTTTCAGAAATCGCCAGTGGCATTTTAAGACAAAAGATTAATTAATATTTATTAGTGAAAACCTCTACTGATCCGAGGCCTCTTAACATAAATTATGTTATGAAGTACTGAACCTAGAAAATTCGAGTTGACAAATCAACTAAACAATAGATTGATTTTACAGATCGCGTGTAATTTTTGTGATAGGCCTCTATAAGAAAAATGCCCTATGTTGTATAAACGAATAACTTACTACCAAGGCAGTCACAACTCTTTATGGTTTTAAGTAATTTCAGTATCGCATGCATGCTGTGACCTAGTCAACACATGAAAAAAAAATGTCAAAGGGAGGCTACTTGCTATCTCTTTCTATTTTGAGTTACTCTGCTTAAATGTAACCAACCCAAGGGAGAGAGGGCAACCAAGATTTAGCAAACATGTTTATACATGTAGTAGTGTAAATTCATAAAGGGGGGATTAGCGCATTGATAAAAAATAAGAAGCAAAAAAAAAAAGCTATATATTACATTTACAAAAGAAAAAAAAAGACAGGGGTTATGGGGGGAAGGGGGTTTCGGGATTCCCACACTCACTCATTAAAAACGTGGGACAGTTCGACCAATTACTGCTGCCATTTAAACAAGAAAGTAGTAAAGTGAATAGACAATAATGCCAATTATATTAGTCCTTGTATATATAGTATAAAAAAAATTAATTCAATAACAGTTTTCATTTTTTTCAATCTCCTTGATAAATATTTAATTTAAAAACGATTGATTTGTTACGACTTACAGCTTTATGTTTAGCGGCGTAACATTGTGGGGCTCCTTAATCTGAATGTTGAACGAAAGACAACAGGATATAATTTGTTTTTAATATTTTATTAGATTTTATTCAATAAACATACAAAAATATTCTTCTTTGGCTCTGCGGTCCTCACCTGAAATAAAAGCAAACCAACCACCCTTTCCAACAAATGTTAATTTATAAACCACCCTTAAACAAACCCTTTAATGAATGTAAATAGACCTAATGCCTTTAGGTCTTGAATAAAGTTCCAACTAGTGATTTCTTCACTTAGTGAGTATAAATATAAAATGTCAGGTTATAGCAGACAACTAATTGTATAGGGACAAAAAGTTATGCTAACATCTCAACAAAACTCAATACAATGCACCATGCATTTGTTAGTTTGTTGTTAATAATAATGTCAGGAGTTATAAATATCACGTTCAGATCACTACTTGTGTCTGAATAAAACTCATTAAACTAATAAAGCCATCAAGTGTTGCTAACAAGTCAATACAAATTGAGGGATAATTACCCATCTAAACTCCTCTGAGCCTTGTTCTTGTAAGGTCATCGTTATCTGACAGATTTGGCGACCGCACAGTGAGTGAGACAGCAGACGTCTGACTGTCAGAGCCCGGGGAGCTCGTATATAAAGCCTTTACACCCATTATGACGTATATTGCATGAGATTTGGCGCCATAACTTCAAATAGCCGGAAAGCTTCGGATACATTTAACTATTATACGCATCCGAGGTGTTCCGAATGTACTTTATACATCTTTTGCCGCTTAGTATGAAAAAGCAGAGTGTAATTGTAAGGTTTTTACTCTAATTATCAGTGAATGGATTTATTAATTACCCCAATTATCAAAGGTAAGAATATTTAGTACTATATAAAAGCATTTGTAGACCAGTGAATGGTTTATTTACGTTCCGTATTCCTCAAAACGTGGAGGAAATTCGGTACCTGGTAAACAATTTGCACCTAGCACATCATTAATTTCAAATAACTCTAATAAATAATAACAGGTAAGCAAGAATAAATATCAATACATCTCATTCATTCAATCATCCATCGAATCATCATTTTAATGACTCATATAACAAGAAACATCTTGTTTACTTATGCATAACAATAGTGGAGAATGTCAAATTCGTAACAGATTTTTCGTGACTCGGTCATTGCATAAATTTATTATAGATTCCAGCCCCGTAGGTAGCAATCTCAGTTTGGGAGGGGGGGGGGGCATAGCCATACATTTTCTGTTGGGGGCACTATCAACCACCAAAATTCCTTGACAAGCAAAAAAAGGAGGGGCATCAGACGTTTTTATTGACAGGGCACAAGCATATAGTAGCTTTGCTTTATATAGTATTCTATATATCGGCAAAATTATTGGGGAGGGGGGGGGGGGGCATGGCCATCCGCGGTTCCTACGGCCATGTATCCTGAATGTATTATCATTATTAACGGTTATAACTGCTAATTTTGCCTATCATATTTGTTTTTTTTATTTGAAAGGATGTCTATATAGAATATAACTTCATAGATTGGGCATTTAACATGGTATTTGGGGGGGGGGGGGGTTATGGTAATACGAGGGCTGTTCGGAAATTATTGAGACATGTACTTTTACTCCACAAAGGACATAGATAAATTCATGAGAATTCGCCAACATTTTATATAGAACAAATAAAACAAATATGCCAAATTTCTAATTTATATGATAATTAAATAAGTTCCGGTGAAATTATAAACATGCATACATGTATGTCTAGTGACCTGGAGCAGCATCGCTACGTCATTTTAACGTCACGTCAGCCGGAGATGTTTTCTCATGTGAAACGATCGGGAAGCGTTTACTCGTCTTTCTCTGATATCAAATATAACATTCCAAAAATCAAACTGTCTCTTTTCTTGAACGATTCTTTAAAAAAAAAATAAAACATGCAATGTTGCTACCCCAGTGTAAAATATACATGAAGTGTT